CATAAGGGAAAGGCAGCTACAGGAATTAGAAAAATAGAAGTATCTGGGCATGGATATAATTCTGACACTCACACCGTAGGCCACACAAACAGGATAACATCGGCAGCATATGAGACACTGGCAAATATAACAACATAGTTTAGGAACATGAATTAGGACTCCTTCAAAGCAATCTACACAACATTTTTTTGACCAATACTGGAATACACATCCTGAGAAGCAAAGCCAACACTGATACAGTATAAAAGTTTGCAACAAGATTGGTGCCAGAGCTAAGAGGGCTAAGTTACAAACATAGGCTGATGGGACTAAATCTCACAACCCTAGAGGATAGAAGGAACCGCAGGGAACATAATTACAACTTACAAGATACTGAGAGGAAAAGATAAGGTGAAGAAGTATAGCCTCTTCAGACTGAGAGAAAGCAGAACAAGAAGACACAGGTTGAAGCTGGAAGAGCAAATGGGTCAAAGGGATGTAAGAAAGAACTCGTGCCCTGTATAGATAGTTAACAAGTGGAATGCTCTTAAAGAGGAAGTTATGAAAGCCACCTCCATCCACAATTTTAAGGCCTGATTCACCAAAAAATTTGAAATTCACTGTAGTAAAGTTGAAACGCAACAGGTACAAGGCTAGTATAAGGGGCATAAAGAGCTATATCTCACTTCCCTGTAAATACTGACAGGCAAGTACTGATAGGAAAATATATACACAAGTTTTATGTATCTGTATCTAAACAAAATACACTAATTGGCAACTTGAAATTATTGCATGATTTTCTTGTAACTGAAAAATCTTAAATAATTAGAGTTGACTGATTTCTGTCAATAAAGCATAAAATGTAGATAATAATCTAGGCTTTAAAAAAATTGACTAACAATAGAAAAAAATAACTCAGAAATGACTGGCTCTTAAATGCAAATACCTCTAAATCAGATACAAATTACAGTACTTAAAACTAAATTATTAGTTAAGGATATAAGGATAATGCATCCTTATTTGTGTGAAAAATTTCAAGATACTGCCAGCAGTGCAGCAATAATGTAAAAGTTTCTTAATGTTACACTATAGTAGATCAAAATCATCATGGACTCTGAAGAACTGAAAATGCTTCATAGTTGTAAGAAATCTTCAAACATCCTGACAAAGAACAACTAGCTTCACACCTTATGCTTATACCTAATGTAATCATGCAATAGTGAAAACTAAAATATATACATATATACATCTATTTTTTTTATATATTACCTATTAAATGAAAAACTTAATGAATTGCAAAGAAGCACAGAGACTGAAGAACACCTTCACTGTGGACTCTATTGCAGATTACAACTAAAAACACCTGAATATTCCATGCAAGATGCTGGCCTTAATAAGAATAAATGCTACATGTATTGAATTTAATTCTTCTAAAGTATTTTTAATATTCCTTCACCTGGATAATAATTCAAAACTGTATGTTTTGATCTTTAAGTCCTGTCACAATGTCTCAGTTCAAAAAATCTTTTCAAGTACTGAATACCATGCAAGTTGGCATACGATAAAGGAAAGTGCCCATCACCACAGAGAGGAAGAGTCAAGAAAGGAGAACTCGGAGAAGAATTTATTTGATAAAAACAACATACAATGATGAAAATAATTTATTACAAACTACTGACTAGCCAATTCTACATTTCTCTAAATGTGCAAAATAGCCCAACATGCATATTTGTATACAGATGATTTGACAGAAACATGCATGTGCAAATTAAATACTGTGCATAAATTAAGTGATAAAGTGCATAGCTATAATTCTAAACTGTGCCCAGAGATATATAATACATGCCTTCTTAACTTTGATCACCATATATGAAGTCAGTGATTACCAATATCTATTGTTCAATCTCCTTCCACCACTTGAAATTTTTGTCCTATCATAAAAGTTTTGCAATGCTATTAATATATTCTTACTCTTGGTAGATTAATATAGTGAAATAAGTGAAAAAGTTAATAACTGGTTAAATTCTTTGTCTTTTGTTATTATTTCAAATACAATACAAATTAAAAAGAAGCATTACAAATTTAATTAATGGAATCTTTTTCTTTTCAACGTTCAAATTAGAATTATGGTGATTAATGTATAATATCATGTTAAATCTGTCTTACGATCTCATACACAGGGACTGTACAAGCTGAAAATTAAAACGACCAGTATACTGAATACAGATACAGTATTGAAACAATTAATGTGCAAATAATAAATAATAATATTACACTTGAGATGCTCTCTTACTGTATAACCCAATAGGCTAACACAGGTATGCTAGATATAAGATGGATAAAAGCTTCCATAATAGACAAATGGTAGCTCGCTCTCATATAGTCTTACTATGAAGTGTTGCAGAATAAAAAATTGTTCCATAAAGAAAATTTTACACATAAATATTGAAAAATACTGTAAAGTAATAAATCATGGGGAGAGAAGGGTAAAGAAAGTTATAGTCTGGACATAGACAAAACAAAAAACTACTCTCAACACAAGGGCGAACAGCATGTTTGAATCAGGACTAAGATTCAATAATAAGAGATAATAAGATCACTTTAAGGTCATATAGGAAACAGAAGGAAGCTCTAGTGACATACCGCATTCGCACAATTATAAGCCACTGTCCATAGTGGGAGTTTTATTGCATTTTCATGCAAACAAAATTTGAACCTCAATTCAATGTAACCCAAAGTTGAGCCATCACTTTAAACCCTCGCATCAAAATAGTACTGTATTTGTATTCAAAATTAACTTTAACACAAGATACAGTATATACTGTATAAATATAGTATATGCAAGAAGTAAGGTCTGTGCTATTCCATACACGCCTCAACTATAAACCTGAGTTGTGACGCACGAACTTACTGGCCAATGTTACCAGGCAATGCTGTTACTATTTGTTATATATCAATTGGCAACAAAATAAATACCATAGGAACTTCAAATGATTTCATAGATCCTTGATACTATATCTATTATCCAGAGTATTGACAAGCCTTTCTTAAGCCTCCTTGCTCCAATTAAATGAACTAAAATATTAAAATGATGGCAACTGACTATTAACTCTTTCCTTCCTTGACCTCCAATAACCCATTACAATTGTACATTACGTACTGTAATGTACAGAGACTTGTACACTTACCCTCCTATATCTGGCATATGAATAAAAATAAGAAAACTATTACAGTAAAGATAGTACCAGTAAATAATTTAATGTTATATTACGTACCATTAAAGATTTCCTGACAAAGTCAAAAGCAATACAGTACACCATTACCATAGTAGGCAAGGTTGACTTACCCATACAAGTTATCATAATCTTAAACACCATCCAACGCATCCATAGATTTATAAAGATTAATGTTTTAATGATGATGGCAATTTACTTACTGAGAGGTGCTAATGGTGGTGGTGACTTATGGTGAGGTGGCAATAATGATGATCCACTTGGGTGAGGTGGCTAACGAGAAGTAACAGTAGAGCAAATGCAAAGAATTTTCATGAACTTTGCATCCTATTGTAGGAGGACACTACCCACCCCCCATTCCCCACTCTTTATAATTTTGTGAAAAATAAAAAAAATTGTAGCAATCAATTGTACAAATATTATATTTAATACAATAGAAGTGCTAAATGCCAGTCACTATAAACAAGCAGTTACTATAACTGGAAAGATGGGCAAGAGGCTGCAATGGGAAGTAAATGAATCAATGTTATGGGGTAGTCACAAAAGTAACTATATTTAAAAAAAAGGAGGGGGGATCACAAGCTATAGAATATAGATTAATAATAATAATAATAATAATAATAATAATAACTTAAAATAAAAATAATAATACAGGTTGGAATCAACAGGTAACCATAATATGATTGAATTTAAACATTCACAAATTATAAATAACATTATTATTCCAAGAAATGCATAATCAAAATGTATAGGAGTCCTTATAGGTCAGTGACAGGTGCTGAATGCTGTTACATTATGATGAATGCACAGCCAACTTATCTCTCAAAATAAATACCAATATATTAACCAAAGAACACAGAGCTCACTATATATGGAAAACCTAACATACCTGACAATTTTGTAAACCACCTTTCCTTTCAGCAAAGTGGAAACCCCAGGTGAAAGAGGCTATCTAAATATGGAATCTCTGCATGACTGAGTATGTCATTAAGAGTATGTAACTCTGAGTATGTCATTAACAGATATTCATCTTTAACCTTGTCTACCAAAGATTTCAAGTGGCATCTCATGGCTTGCAAGCCCCATGTATTTCAGTAATTGGCTCCCTCTTATTTAGCTTTCATTTAAATCAATCTTTGCTTGTTGGAGTGTGTTTTATCACATATATTTTTGAACAAAACTCACAAATGTCAATCCAGAAAGAACACAAGACTGTAATGACCTTCCAGAATCTAATGATGTATAAGCAAACTACTCATTATTTATATTATATATAAAAAACAGCTGACAGTTACTACTAGTCTGATTACATCATGGTGTAGAAATTTCTTAATATCAAATTTAAAAGGCATTAGATTTAGTGATGGTACTTCTACTATGATAAACTTTGGTGAAAACTTGCACAAAGAGTCTGGTGTAAAACAGATGTTTTGAAGTTAGAACACAAACATCGCCAGCCTCGTTAACTTTATTTATTTATTTATAATTTTGCAAAATATACCACACGAATGATCACAACTCTTGGTTAATTTTTATTACTCTTACTATTGCAAATACTGTATATTAATAGTTTTATTTTTTTTTTTTTTTTTTTTAGCCAGTAATGACATTCACTTCAGTGTAGCTATCACTACCAACAAGAAGCTCCTGCTTCTCAAGACATTTCACAAAAAATCTAATCCTGTAATGTAAAGTCTAAGAAGCAGAAGCAACAGCAGTCGTGCCCAGCCCAACTAGCCCTCACTGGTAGGGCGGGAAGTAAGGCGGGAAGAAAAGTGATCGCCTCACCTGAAGGTGCTTGCTTAGGGCCTGGATTTCTAGCGAGTGGAGGTGGAGCTGCGAGAAACACTGCTGGAGTCCCATCATCACCTGCTGGTTTAATGGTCCACTGCTTTCATTTCCAACTGCCAAGAAAGATTAATTTATCATTATCTATCAATATCCACATGCATTAACATTCCATCCTAACAACAGCAAGACTTTTCAACTAACCGGCCACTTTGTGTAAGTTCCCTGGAGGTGATCTGAGCTGTCCACCAATTCTCAATATTTTTTTTTTTTTACACAAAACCTCTAGCAATTGTTTGCTAAATTAGAAATCAGTTCAGAGCCTTTGTTTCTTTATTGAGCCTGAGTAAAAAGATGCACACCATGTCTGGCACAGCATGACAGTGCGAGGGACCATTGATGCTGTGCATAATTGCAATGACTTTGAAGGACCTGGAACATCTTAGCGATGAAAGGGAATATATTACAAATAATTAATTTGAATGTTATCCCTCAGAATATGAAATAAGCTGCTCCAACAGCAAGGGAAGACAGAAGAATGAAGGTGCGGTGACTGACATGATGCTGTACTGACAACACACATACTTTGAGTTGCAAATATATCTGATTCTGCTGAAAATTTGATGTGACGATGTCAATGCCATCTAAGGAATGCACCCAACCCCATTTTCGGTTCCCGGTGGAAGGCTGACACCTGTGTAGTTTCCGTCTTACTATTCATCTTTTACTACTCAGAAGGGATGTAGGTGGTACCTTGGTCAATAGGAATCAGTTAACCCAGGGCAGTCCTGAACTCAAGACTTGTTCCAGTGGGAACAAGTGGGCCAAGTCGGTGGAGATGGTGATTTGTCTATGACAACCAGCGAAGTATTGGTAATTTGACCGACGTAACCCGGGATGGACCCAATTGAGTTACGAGATGGAATTAATGTCGGTCTGTCCTCTATGTTAAGGCTTATTATAGCTGAAGCCTTTTAGAAGAAGGCAGCCAGCATGTTGCTGGAGAGTACAAGGGATATTTTGACAGTCACTGTGACGCTACCATGGAGGACTGGCCCATGAGTTATTGAGAAAGGTGGACTCGCTGGTGAGAGTTCCATAAAAGAAAGGCTCAGGGAAGGTACCTGGAGTGTTGTACAATAGAAGATAGAAGTGGACTCGCTGAAATAGAAGATCACAAAAGTTTTTTTGTAGTGTCCTGTGTGAAAGTGACACCTGCAATGTTATGTTACATACATATGTAATAAGTATATAAAGTTAAGAAGTACACATGATGATGGTTTTGTTTTGTGTTGTTTACCCCTATAACTCATTGAATTGACTATTAATGCCAGTTCATAATAACTTCCCAACTAAATTCGGGTTGGATCTAGTAAGAAGAGGCAAATCTTTTTTGCCGATAGAAAGTTTGATGTAAAAGAACCCGGTTATTCATTTAGTGAGGCCATAATATATGAAGATAGTTATCTTGTATGGAGATAGCTTCATACAATTAAGTCACATTAGCCCTAGGAGTCTTAATCACCTACTGCAGACCAAAGCCAGACCACAGCCCCTGCTTGATGGGGTTCTGGAAGTTCTTCCACTCCCCAACCCGGGCCGAGGCCAAGCTTGACTTGTGAGAGTTTGGTCCACTAGGCTGTTGCTTGAAGCAGCCCGCAGGACCACATACCCACCACAGCCCGGCACATACCCAGCCCACAGCCCCCTTATAGAAATGCAGGTAGCAGGGCATTGTTACAATCACCTTCAGCAAGAAAGCATCCAGAAAGTAAGTGAAGCAAAAAATACAACTGCATGATTCACCAAGAGAATGAGACGAAGCAGCAAACGACTACAAAAATTTTCCCAGTGGTTAGATCGAACCCCGCTTAGTTACAGCTGGGCATCTCCAGGTGGCAGCACCACCAGAGATACCAGCTCCCCATGTTAACAGACAGAGAGGACCCCCAAATGATACTGGCAGGTCTGGTGACCACTGGTCACAAAACTCTCAGTCCAGGGGCCGAAGTTGCCTGTGAACACATCGAGCAACGGGAAGGGGATGAAGGTGCCACAGAATCAAACCTCGAAAAGCCTGAAAAGGAAACCGGCAGAGCAAAAGCCAGCAAGGAATAAATGGTGCATGAACCCGAGGGTCCCAGTGGAGGCAAAATGAGTGAAATCATTGGAATCAGAGTAAAACCCTGACCCAAATGGTTTTGTCCAATGGCAAAACCATGTAGGCAATGTTCAGGCTCCAGCACAACCACTCGATCAACCACAAAGCATGTACTGTTAGTCCACAGAGCCTGATACTATCTTCCTCTGTCTTAATCCTCCTCATAATTTTTGCATCAGCTAACATTGAGTGGAACGAGTTTATTCCCTCTGGGAGATCATTTACATATACTGTATCAGAAACAGTATAGGTCCAAGGACTCATCCCTGTATTCACCTAGTTGTGCTTGTGGGGGGTTGAGCTCTGGTTATTTTGGCCCACCTCTCAACTGTCAATCAATCAACTTTTTTTTTCCTCCATACACACCCCCAGGAAGCAACCCGTAGCAGCTGTGTAACGCCCAGGTACCTATTTACTTCTAGGTGAATAGGCACATCAGGGTGAAAGAAACTCTGCCTGTTTGTTTCCACCATTGCCAGGAATCAATCCCTAAACCTAGAATTATGAATCCCGAGCGCCGTCCACTCAGCGACCAGGCCCCCAGGCTTGTGGGACTCCACTGGTGATGCCTCGCCACTCCAAACCTCACTCCTCACAGTGACTGGTTGTCTTTGTTGCTTAGGTACTCCTTTACCCAGTGGGGTACCTTCCTTTTCACTCCTGCCTGCACCTCCATCCAGCTGGTGCACTTGTCTCTTATATGGTACTGTGTCAAAGGCATTCTGGCAATCCAAAAATATGCAGTCTGTCCAGACCTCTCTTTCTTGCCTAAATTTTGTTGCCTGGTCATAGAATTCAATTAATCCTGTGAGGCATGATTTACCATCCCTGAACCCATGCTGATGTTGTGTTACAAAGTTCTTTCACTCCAGATGGTCCACTAGCTTTTTTGCACATTCTTCTACGGCCCACCCCAGCCCATCCACAATGGGTGGATGGGCTGGGTGGTTGGGTGGGTGGGTTGGTGGGCAGGCAGGGCAGGCTGGGGGTCTGGGTTTGTTCGAGCAGGCGGATTGGCTGGTGACCTGATGCAACAACAAAACATCATATCCAGATATATAAGTTTCACATCATGTATAGCAATTCTCTTGCCCAAAATATAAACAACTACACCAAAGCTGATCTTAGAGGAGGTAAGAGTTGTGGTACAAAATCCACATTAAAATATCTTTCAATAAATGTAAGATGAAACATACTTAAATAGTTTTTTCCAAATATCCTTGTAAAATAGGGGTGCGTCCTATGCGAGAGTGTGTCTTATATGCCGGCAAATACGGTAATTACCTTTTGTGAATAATAACAAGGTTAATCTTCTTATTAAAGGTGCAGACAACCACATGCTTTCCAGACATATCCAAACCGAGACTGGAAAAGTATAGAGGGTTCGTCACCCTGAAAATCTACAAGAAAATGTAGAAAATTAGATAGGAATAGTTTTACTAAAGTATTTTGTTTGTGCTCATTAATATGAGCAATTCTGGTCTGTTTGCAAAGTTGAAGGATATACTGTAGTTGAAGCTCCAGAGCTATCAATACGTAAAATATTTGAAACTTGGTACTTGATGCCCACAACACTTCCCAAGTTGCCACTCTCCACCTTCTTTATTCATTCAACTTTCTTCTCAAAAGTCATCACTGAATGCTTTCTTTCAAGTTTCATACTTGTAGAAGCCACCATTGACAAATTATTTGTAGGTGACATGGAGCATAGTGTTCAGATCTAAAATAGAGTATATTTTAGCTGCTATATTAGGGTCCCGGTAGTACAGTTGGATTCGTTCTCGACGCACAATCGAGAATTTCGGGTTCGAATCCCGGGTGGGACAGAAATGATTGGGCAAGTTTTACTTTCACCTAATGCCTCTGTTCACCTTGCAGTGAGTAGGTACTTAGGTGTTAGTCAACTTATTGTGGGGTTGCATCTTGGGTGGGGTCAGTAATTTGGGGGGGGGAGGAAGGGGGGGAGGGAGGGGGGGGGACCTCGATATAGGTCCACTGTGTAAGAATACACTTTGGCTGCCTGTCCCCCGACACATGCAAGAAAATTACGGAAATGAACACTCCAGCGCTATACCACAAGCAAAAACAAGCACTGTGATGTCTCGCTACCACTCTTTCTCACCGCTTTATCACACATTCTATTCAGAATGCTCACTCAACAATGTCATATGAAGCTTTATTTGGATCTCACAAAAACTAGAAATTATAATTTCCGGGTAAGTTGTGTCCAGAAAGCACACGAGTCTGTAATAATAGCCACAGATATGTAATATGTATGTAATTATAGAGATATAAGCAGAACTAAATTTTCCGGAATTTCTAGTTATGTCATATTACATAGGTCACACTTTAATCCTGTAGATTCTTATACATTATACCTGATCAACCAGATTCTGACTCATATGTCAGGCTGTGAGCAGCTGCATCAAACAGCTTGGTGGATCAGACCAGCAACCAAATGGCCTGGAAATCTCAAACATAATTTTGGTGAATTTCCTAATGTCTTTCAAGCAAACAATCTGCATTTCTAATACTATATTATCCTCTTTTATATAACTACTTTCTATAAAATACAATTGTAACCCTTACCTTGACCACCCATAGCCAGAGATCCCAATCCAGCATATGGAGACATGGGAGTGAGGGCCTGAACTCCACTCGTAGTGACGCCAATCCCAGAAATATTTGACAAGGACGAGGGTGTCACACCAGCAGATGGGAGATCAGAAACATATTGAGGCAAAAACTGGCTATAAGGACTAGGGATAGAGCCTAGAACCTGATTTTGCTCTTGCCGTAGACTCTCCTGCAGGTTGTTGATAGTTCCTTGTACTTGGCTCAGCTGGAAAATGATTGTACAATTAAACTAATGTTATGTTAAACAAAAGACTACTATGTGTAACTAGTTCCTTCATTGTGCCTAGTCTTAACAAATATCAGCAGAGAGCACTGCAGCACATTCCTACTGTAACTGTCACCCTGCCACTGTCCTACAGCAGACTATAAAGAATAAATCATTCCTAATATTCAATCTTAAAATCCAGATAATTCTTGAGGTTATCTTGAGATGATTTCAGGGCTTTTAGTGTCCCCGTGGCCCGGTCCTCAACCAGGCCTCCACCCCCAGGAAGCAGCCCATGACAGCGGACTAACACCCAGGTACCTATTTTACTGCTAGGTAACAGGGGCATAGGGTGAAAGAAACTCTGCCCATTGTTTCTCGCCGGTGCCTGGGATCGAACCCGGGACCACAGCATCACAAGTCTAGCGTGCTGTTCGCTCGGCCGAACTCCCAGCTCGATTAGGCTGGGAGCCGATTAGGCTGTGTGCAATTATTGTGTGCAATTAAGCCGACCGGCTTAATTGCACACAATTAATTTCTGTATTTCATTTTTTTTTGCCAACAAACATTCATTTAAGACTTTCGCTGCCCAATGCCACATATTCCATCACGAAAACCAAAATACGGAGTAAGCGTCATTAATTTTTTAAATTTGTAAAAATTCCATTTATTGTCCGAATACTATGGGACTTGTTTTAAAATGTACGCTAATATCTGCCCATTCTCTGTATACCCCATGTGGCATCCTGACCCTGCCATGTGGGCATCCCCCCCCCCCACGCTGAATGCTTACTGTTCACGTGACCTCGCTTGTGACAGCCACGGCCTTCCCTTGAGTCGAAAAGTTTCCCCATTCTGGTTATTTTATCTCAGGCATTTGTTGCTACTGGCTTTATAAACACTGCAAATTAACTATCTGATTGCAAATCAGATAGATACTGATCAAGAACAGAGCCAATCCATTACAAAAGCATTGAAAGAAACACGAATAATGAAAAGTGTTTGAGTTTTCGTTGAAAGTATAGAAAAGTAAGACTTAAATGTCCTTATATGCAAATGTCCATTTACAGCATTGTATTGCAAACAATTTGATACCACATTGATCGACATAGAACAAAAATTGAGGTCAGAAAGCTAAAAATTAGAATAAACATTTTTGTGTGGTGGTGAGCGCTTGGCCTACCTTGTGGTGCGATGTGGGTCTAAAGTATAGGAAAGTGAGACTTGTATGTTCCTATATGCACATATTCCTTTAGAGCAATATGTTCCTAAATGCACATATTTCCTTGGAGCAATATGTTCCTATATGCACATATTCCTTTAGAGCATTCTATTGCGAACTATTTGATACCAAATTGAACGATGTAGCATGAAAATTGAGGTCAGAAAGTTGAAAAGAGTATAAACATTTGTGGGTGGTGTTGAGTTCACAAGCACCCGCTCGGCTGACTTTGAGGTGAGCGGCGGATCGCCTGCCGAGGCAGGGAAAGTGTTAATTATGTATGATCATTACATTGATGCTAATATTTTATACTGATTGTTCTACTCCTACAATATTGCAAGAAAATTTTCCAAATAGTCAATGCAATAAATTTGAATTCAAAAGTTAAAAAACAATTTGATGGAAGAAAACAATTACCATAATTACTTTTAAAGTTAAGTGCAAGTGAAAATGCAGAGAATTTAAATGCTAATGAAAATTACAACTGCAGAACTTTCAACAAATACAATGATACAAACCTAACCAACCAAACTAGACACAAGATCAAGAAATGTGTATGGCATAATAATCACACATTTATGTATAATATAATATCTTTACCATGCAAAGACTTGATACAACATGCAATTTCTACACCTTAAGCTGCATTTCTTGATACAAATAAAAGCAGTTCTGGTGTGCTTGAAGTGTGGTATTGGAGGGGGACTTCCACTGTATTTTACTTCCCCCTGAAACACTACCTAAAGTGTCATATTTCTACACCTTAAGCTGCATTTCAAACAAACAAAAGATTGAGTAAATATCCAGAATAAAAGCATATATTTACCTGAGAGAGTGCTGCACCAAGAGTCTGGTGTGCTTGAAGTGTGGTATTGGAGGGGGACTTGAAGCTGGCCCCTTCCATAGTGCCCACTGCTTCCCATGAAGCTTTAGGAACACTACTTCCCCCTGCAGACAAGTTTTGAATCTTAATATCTACCTAAAGTGTCATATTTCTTGGCGTATGAGGTGTACTTATTTGTTCCTTTTAACCCCCAACATATGACCGTCGGCATTTGTTGATCTGGGCAATAATGGTTATTGTCATTTGAAGTCCCATTATAACAGCCCTGTTTTAATAACAGTGATGTAAGTATGGTTGTAATACATCTACATGGATGTAATGGAGTTAAATAAGACCAATGAAAAAATTCTGCTATCATTTTGTAATTGCTTACTATGTGATGAAGTTATCCTGTACAGTACTAAGGGTCTGTGATTATAGTCAAATTAATGCTTGGTCTTTACCATCAGTGTTTGAATTTATTACTGGATGACATTCCCCAGACAGAATCTCATCAAAGGAGACGAGTTACAAAACACTTCCTTTGATTTGTAACAGGAATAAGCTTACTGTACATGCAATTTATCTGTACATATTACATTGTAACCCTACACATAATTGACAAAATTAGTGATGGAGTATTATGTGTACTGAACATTAATAAAGTTACTCAACACAAGCACTACATTGTGTAAACCAGTAAGTCAAGCAACCAACAGAAAAGCCATCTAAGTTGCACATTTGAATCCTCTCCTCCACTATGTTGGCAAACTACACCTCCAGTGCTGACAGATACACTGATCTCGCACCTGGGTGCTAGGTATGCTTCACTAAACCAGAAAATATATGAATTGGATTTTTGTCTTTTCATGACTTTTTGCATGCAAATATAACTTTTCATAAGAACAATTCTATGTTTACTTTTTTTGTTGTGCAGAGGTGAGGTGACAATGTTAATGTAGCCGCATGTCGAGGATTAAATGCATCTAAAATTTTTACTCTCCTCATTACACAAAAATTTTAGAAAATATTTTCAGGTTCAATCTGAGAAGTCAGATTTTTAAGCTTTATTAAATAGCATACCCAATAAAAATACTGTATATCAAAGTCTATTTGTTTTTATGTACCATGTTCCTGACTTCCATTCAACTAATTAGCATCCAGTTTTACTAATGACCTTCCAAGTTCTCGTTTTCGCATTATAATTTGATACACAAACTCTCTATTGTCCCTTGGGTTCATGTAGCAACAGTACTCTTGTTACAGTTGTAACTTTTGTGTCAGACCACTAGCAGTGTTGTCCAACATCCTGGTTGACCAGACCACCAACAAAAATACCTGGTCAGAGACCGGGCAGAGGGTACTTTAATCCTCAAAAGTACCTTCCTGAGGCCTTCCCAGCACCTCAAGGTAACCTTTCACAGATATATCAGCTGCTACATGCTCTTGTACTCATCTTACATTCATTAAATATAATCATATTCAGATTGTATTTCTTTCATCGCTATCACTCAAGACTTTCAGAGTACTGTACTGTATTCTCTAAAACTATTTATAATATACTCTTCAACATTTAACTTTCTTCCAAGTACTGTATATTGTTTATCATTCTCATTTAATTATTCATCAGTTTTCCTGATGCACTTCCTTGCAGTATTTATTTCTTGCCTTTCTTTCTCTTACTTACGTCTGTCTGGTAAATCTCATTCTTTTCTTTTTCACTAACAGCTATTTTATATTCCTCAACCTATCAAATAATTCTTCCCAATCTATTATCAGTTTGTGTAATTCACACACTTACTTGGCATTCTTAGCATTGTCTTAATACATCCCACATGGCACTCAAATTTCCTTTATTTATTGTCTCCAAGATCATTATCAACTCTTCTTTTGTACATCTTGGATCCTTGCAATCGCCCATTCAGCACTAAATCTTATCCTACAAAGCACCGATATTTGCTAAGACAAGCATCCATATATTTCTCTTGGAAATAATGAAATAGCTGATACAGTGGAACCTCAGTGTACAATTACCTCTGAATACGAAATTTCTGGTGTACGAAGAAAATTTCTTTGGAAAATATGCTGTACACTGGAAATTTTCCAGTGTACAAAGTTTGCTCCGGAGTACAAACTGCTCATTCATACTTGTCTGAGTCAGTAACATTAGTTTACAATTGTACCTGCCTAGTGATAACTGTGCTTGAAATATCAGTGAAAAAGTCATAATTTTTTTGCCTTTCTGTTGTTGCTTAACATATAAGTTCTTATGTTCTTATTATCATATATATCATGCCATGGGTCCCACGAAATTCAGTGCTAAAGGAAAGAAACCTAAGAAAGTAGTTGTGAGGATGACTTTTAAAAAATGAGATATTTATTTATAAATATAAATACTGTCATAAATATAAATATAAATACTGTTTATAAATATAAATACCAGGTGCATACTGTCTTAATGTAAAAGTGAAGACAGTATGCACGTGGTTGATCTGGCAAGGAATGTGTGTGCAGTATGGAAAGAACTGTAAAGTTTGCTGAAAAAACTCACTCAGATAAAGCTGTAGCAAGCCGTTGTATTAACATTTTTAATCTTAATTTTTTTTATAATTGTTATAACGTAAGTAAAAACAAGTGTCTTTAGACAGATTCTTAGTGAGACAAACAACCAGTGAGCCACAACCAGGTCCTAGTGGTATGCCTGCAAAATGTAGGAGAGAGAGAGTACCCCAGAAATGTCATCACTGCCTGATGTTATAATGGAAGTGGACTCCCCTTGCAAATATAAACACCTCCCTCCCTCCTCAGTGTTTTCCATATACCAATGACAGTCCTCAATAAAGGTAAAGTGCAGTTAGTATTCTGTATAAAATGTATTTTTAAGTTAATATTTTTGGTCGTGTTTAATCCAATTTATATTATTTTTATTGGAAAATTTGATTCAGTGTGCGAACATTCAGGTTACATTGCATTTCTTAGAACGGATTAAATTCTTACACCAAGGTTCCACTGTATGTACATGTACAGAATACCAAATTCCTAAAGTTTTAAGAGCTGCAATTACTGGCAACATATAACACGTAAATAAAAATATAAATAACATGCTTGAAAAATACGCACTAAGACGATTGTGCTTAGGACGTCCAGAGTGGGCTGTGGTCAGGTTATTAACTGAAAAACGTCCAGAGTCCTGACGACGACGGTGGCGGGTTGCTGAGTGGCGATTGCGGTCTTTGGGTTGACCAGAAGGTTGTTGAGAGCGGCGATGGGAACGTGTGGGAGCCTCACCATCATCATTTTCTTCTTCTATCAAATCTTCATCACTGCAGATAAATCCCCATAAATAATAAAAAAATCATTGCTAAATACTAAATTAATCTTGCACTCACACTGCATCTTATATCACTGATAAAATTTTATCTAGGAATTTCTCTTCAGGTACGTTCACGATAGAAATGCCATAGTTATTCCATTTAAACACACTTCATTTGCCTTTACATTCCCTACAGTCATCATAAAACCTTCCCAATATGTACAGTACTCTCCTTTTGCATTACCACAGTTTTCTTAATGTTTTATCAATACTGTACTAAGGTTTATTTCTTAATACTAAAGTGAAAGTTAATTTCAGTAAAAGACTATTCATTTCTGACACTAAATTCAGTAATGTATTTCCTTATGATCTTCCTGAGAAATTTATGAATTTGCTTCTACAAGATATTCTCTCACTCACCCATTTAACTTTGTGCTGTTTACACAGTATTGATCCTAATTACATTAATTAAATTCTCAAATCTACTTCTAAAGGTCACTTCATGGGTTTACTGTTTGCAAAACAGTAATTTATATCCTTTGAAATCAGTTCATTTTCCTTAGACAAAAATTATTTAAGACATTCAAGACATTCTGGATTGTTCCTTAATTTACTGTTTATGATCATTACCATCATCTTTACATTCACTAATCAAAAATTAATTTCATGGTAAACCGTAGAAGAAAAAGAAAGAGCCTGTTAAGACAGACCAACTTGTAGCACCCACAATCTAAATATAAATAAATTTTAGCATGCAATTTGACACTAATTTCCCAGAAGAACAAGCTTACTCCCTTACGGTAGGGAACAAGAATACCTTATATTCTATTATATTAATGTCTAATACCATACAAGGACTGTATTTCAAATTTATAAATTGATTATGAAACAAGTACTTCCAAAGGATACTAAGCCAGCTTAGTTGTACAAGAAACTAAACAGTACCCATACCTAGAATGCTGATAATGATTATCAGAATAATCATGGAGCCCAGCTGTACCCCAGGTAGCAGTTGTACCATTACCACCATCCAGCCTGTCGGATGTCTCAGAGACATTGTCGGAGATGTTGTCTGATATATTGTCCATATTGAGTGAAGAAGACTTTCCCATACGCTTCATGAGGGCTTCAAGAGCATTTTTCTTTTGTCGCAATTCTTCTTGCATTGCTAACATTTCTGAAACGCGAGGGTCTACGCCAGAGTTGCCTTCGTCCCACAGAGCCTGAATAAAGCAGTTACAATGCCTTGTTTCAATACATGAACTGTACAAGAATATGGTCAAACATTGCTTATTCCCTTAGTTCAGGGCCAAGACATAATGCTATACTTTGCAGCTTACTTTAAACATTTATTTTTTTTGGTTAGACACATGCAGATAGCGTGTTCAGTGCAGCTGGCTCACTACTCACTGATTGCACACAAGTTCAATTCCCGGGTGTGTTGTGTGTGTGTTGTGTTCTGTGATGTGTGTGTGTAATTACCTAAGTGTGGTTACAGGATGAGAGCAATGCTTGTGGTGTCCCGTCTTCCCAGCACTCTTTGTCATATAACGTTTTGAAACAACTGACCGTTTTGGCCTTCAACATCTCACCTAACTTGTTCCAACCGTCTACCACTCTGTTTGCGCAAGTGAATTTTCTTATACAGTATTTCTTCAGCATCTGTGTTTAGTTAGTTTAAATCTATGACCTCTTGTTTTTGAAGATCCAGGTCTCAAGAAATCTTCCCTATCAATTTTACCAATTCCTGTTACTATTTTGTACATAGTGATCCTATCACCCCTTTTTCTTCTGTCTTCTAGTTTTGGCATACTTAATGCTTCTAACCTCTCCTCGTAGCTTTTGCCCTTCAGTTCTGGGAGCCACTTAGTGGCATGTTTTTGCACCTTTACCAGTTTGTTGATGTGCTTCTTAAGATATGGGCACCATACAACCACTGCATATTCCAACTTTGGTCTAACTGTGAACAATTTCTTTAGTATTTCGCTATCCATGTATTTAGAAACAATTCAGATAGTTTTCTATATAGAATTATCCCTAGATCAGAATTCTTTAAAGATTTCTCACATAATTTATAAGTTGTGTGGGGTCTATGTTCTCCAATTCCACATTCCATAACATGGCATTTATTAACATTAAATTCCATTTGCCAAGTGGTGCTCCATATACTTATTTTGTCCAGGTCTTCTTGAAGGGCATGACAATCATCTAAATTTCTTATCTTTCCTATTATCTTAGCATCATCAGCAAACGTGTTCATATAATTCTGTATTCCAACTGATGGATCGTTTATGTAGACAATGAACATTACTGGTGCAAGAACTGAACCCTGTGGTACTCCACTTGTGACATTCTTCCAATCCAATACATTGCCTCTGCTGACAGCCCGCATTTTTCTATCAGTTAGGAAATTTTTCATCCATTTTAGAAGCTTACCTGTCACCCCTCTGACATGTTCCAGTTTCCAGAATAACCCCTTATGTGGAACTCTGATAAAAGTCTTTTTTAGGTCCAGATAAATGCAGTCAACCAAACCATCTCTTTCCTGTAAAATCTCTGTGGCTCGATCATAGAAACTGAGTAAATTCGTTTCACAGGATCTTCCAGACTGAAAACCATACTGTCTGATATTATATCGTTTTTCTCCAGGTGTTAACCCATTTAGTTTTAATTATTTTTTCCAATATTTTGACTATTACACTCGTCAATGATACAGGTTTATAATTGAGGGGGTCTTCCCTGCTACCACTTTTGTAGATTGGAACTATGTTAGCCTTTTTTTCACACATCAGCTACAACTCCTGTACACAGGGATGCCTGAAAAATCAGTTGAAGTGGAATACTGAACTCGGGTGCAAATTCTCTCAGAACCCATGGTGAAACTCCATCTGGACCAACTGCTTTGTTCTTACTTAGCTCCTTGAGAATTTTTTCCACTTTGTCTCTAGACACCTCTATGTGCTCTATGTTGTTCTCTGGAATTCTTATTGTGTCTGGTTCCCTGAAGATTTCACTTTGTACAAACACACTTTGGAACTTTTCGTTTAATGTTTCACACATTTCCTTTTCATTTTCCGTGAATCGTTTCCCATTTTCAACCTCTTGAATATTATCCTTTACCTGCAATTTGTTGTTTATGAATTTATAGAATAGGCCGGGTTCTGTTTTAAATTTGTCTGCAATCCTTTTTTCAATTTTTTTTTTCTGCCTCTCTTCTCACTGCTGTGTAGTTGTTTCTCGCATCTTTGTACCGCTGGTATGTTTGGGGGTTTTGCCTCTTCCTATATTGATTCCATTTTTGTGTCTTTTTGTCTCTGGCCCTCTCACAATTTCTATTGAACCAATTCTGTTTCCTAGTTCTGCATCTCTGCATTGGTGTAAATTTTTGTGTGACTTTATCATATATTTCACAAAACTTGACATACATCTCATTTACTTCATGTCCTAACAGCAAGTCTTTCCAGTCAAATTCCTTAAAAGAAATGTCTGAGTTCCCCATAATTACCTCTCCTGAAATCAGGTTTTTCAACTGTTTCAACCTAATTTTCTTCCAGATTATAACACATTGCATACTTTATTCCCAAAAAGACATGGTCACTTCTACCCAACGGAGGGAAGTACTGAATGTCAAATATCTCTTCCTCTTTTCTGGTAAATATCAAATCCAGCATGGAGGGAACATCTCCTACCCTCATCCTCGTAGCTTGTTTAACATGCTGAAACATGAATGTTTCCAGGATGAGGTTTACGAATCTACAAGTCCAAAAATCCTCTGTTCTCGCTTTATATGCCTCCCAGTCTATGGATTTCAAGTTGAAGTCGCCGACTACCAACAGTCGTGATCTATCTATATTAGCTCTCGCTATAATCTCTCTCATTATTGTTATAAGCCCCTCATGTTTATTATCCAGCTCCTCCTCTGACCATGTGTTACATGGCGGTGGACTATATACATTTATGATCGTTAGTTTATCATCCTGTTTGCAGATCTCTAGTGCTATTATGTCAACTTCTTGTGAATTGGCAATCATTATTTCATTTACCTTTAGGTGTTCTTTCATCAGCACAGCAATGCCACCGCCTTTCCTAATTTTTCTGTCCCGTCTCCAGACTCAGTAGCCATTTGGGAATATGACTTTATTTAAAATATAATCTTCAGGGTTTGTCTCCATGTGTGCGTGCGTGTGCGTCCATGTATGTGTATATGTGTGTGTGCGTCTATGTATGTGTATATGTGTATGTGTGAGAGAGAGAGAGAGTGAGTGAGAGAGTGTGTGAGAGAGTGAGAGTGTGAGAATGAGTGAGTGAAAAAAAAAGAAGAAGAAGAAGAAGAAGAAAAAGAAGAAGAAGTAGTAGTAGTAGTTAGTAGTAGTAGTTAGTAGTAGTAGTTAGTAGTAGTAGTTAGTAGTAGTAGTTAGTAGTAGTAGTAGTTAGTAGTAGTAGTAGTTAGTAGTAGTAGTAGTTAGTAGTAGTAGTAGTTAGTAGTAGTAGTAGTTAGTAGTAGTAGTAGTTAGTAGTAGTAGTAGTTAGTAGTAGTTAGTAGTAGTAGTAGTTAGTAGTAGTAGTAGTAGTTAGTAGTAGTAGTTAGTAGTAGTAGTTAGTAGTAGTAGTTAGTAGTAGTAGTTAGTAGTAGTAGTTAGTAGTAGTAGTTAGTAGTAGTAGTTAGTAGTAGTAGTTAGTAGTAGTAGTTAGTAGTAGTAGTTAGTAGTAGTAGTTAGTAGTAGTAGTTAGTAGTAGTAGTTAGTAGTAGTAGTTAGTAGTAGTAGTTAGTAGTAGTAGTAGTAGTAGTTTTCTTATAATGCCAATCAAGTCTGGTTACTGCTGGTTTTAGGCATCTTGTTTTTGCAATTTAAAGAAAAGAAGAAAAGGTAGAGACAAAATATATACAAATAAAATATTGGAAATTTGAGCTAGCAGCATACACTCTGGGAAAACAATGAGAGCCATTCTACTGTTGAAATATTTTGCAAGATGCATAGTGCATTTTTTACAATCATTGTTTCCTAATATTGAAAATAATATTTTATGGGGTAATTATATAGTAGTTCTAAAAATATATAACATTAACATAAGAATTCGTTGTGACAGCGGTTGTGTTGCAGGCAGACCACAAGCCCCACCATTCATGGTCAAGCAGGGGCACTGGTGCACAGTCACAACACACCCAACAACCACACTACCATTCTTTATGCCAGTGAAACCAGTGAAGAGTAGAGGTTGACGCTGAGATGTCAATCTCATCCTAATCACATACTCAGACCTTAACAAAACAACAAGAGTATGAAAGTGTAATTTCTTTACATAAATTTCACAAATACACAAGTGTGGATTTTTATCCTACATTATTAAGTTTGTGAGAAGACATTACCATTACTTATACGAAATATTGTTGGAACAAAAGTGAAAGTCTTCAAGAAAAAACTGGACAGTTTTCTGCAAGAAGTGGCAGACCAATCAGGATATAGTGAAAATGTGGGCCTGCGGGTCACTCCAAGCAACAGCCTGTTGGACCAAGTCAAGTTTAGCCCCTGGGCCGGGCTTCGAGAGTATAAGAATTCCTAGAACCCCATCCAGGTACATAGAATAAGTGCATTATGTCAGGAGACACTGATTTACAAACTTTCATTATTTCCCCAGATTTGATAAATTAGAGGCCAATAAATTTAACTAGTCCACTACTACTAAAAGATCTGATTTTCAATTAAACTGATTGAAATATTGTAGATTTACAATATTCTGAATGATTAACTCCTGTTGAAAGGACTGACAAGACAAATTACCTGTGGTTGCTTCTTAACTGCCCCTTTCTCATGGCCATGCTTTGATCCTTCATTGATAGCCGAAACTCTGGTGCTTGTCTTATTCAATCGCTTTTGCATAGCAGATATATCACTGTTCTCCTTTTCTTGCATGCGGTGATCTCGCTCGTTGCGACCCAATGAAGTCGACATGTCACTGCGACTTGCACTGCCCCTGTTTAGAAAATACAAAAATATATATATCTATATCTATATAGTATTTATATCTAGCTATCTCGAATTGTCTGTAAAGCTTTGCTGACTTTCTAAATGCTTTCTCGGTGTGGTGGTGAATAGTTACTTGCTCTGTGATGGAGCTAGGTTTTAGCTCTTATACCTGGTAGGCCAAACAGAGCTCTTACATCAGATTTGACTCCTTTGCATGGAGATATCTCAATGAGATAGTATCAGGGAGCCACCAGGAATCATCCAGAAAGAGGCATTTCATTATATTGAGCACTGGATTGTTTACAAAATACTATGTGGGGGGGGGGGGGAGGGGGAAACCTGTTATTACATTTGTATCTTAAATATATTGTGTTAATGCTAAGGGGAGATTTATTTATTTATTTATTTATTTATGCATATACAAGAATGTACATAAGGAATGTGAGGATACAAATATGGTAATTACAGTCTTGTAAAGCCACTAGCACGCGCAGCGTTTCGGGCAGAAAGTTTTTTCTTGCAGTTTTTCAAAGCAGTTTCTTGTTTAGAAAACAAGAAACAAGCAGGCATGAACATACTTGACATTTATTCCATTCAAAAGTCCTAGTTTCTTCAACTTACATTCGAGAGGCACGAACATGTCTTCTGGATGACCTGAGCTCCTCTTCAGGCTCCTCCTTAATCGAGGTGACCTCTGGCACTGGACGTCGTGTAACCCCCTCAGCCTCATCCCTTTCAGCCTGCAAAAAAGCATACTTGGATAACACAATTCTCTTAAAATATACCCAGCTTGGTAATAACTAAATCACACAAATCATTCTTTATATTATTAAAACTGCTATAAATATATTTTAGCATGAAAATTCTGAATAGTGGACAAAATGATTAAGTCTAAGACAATTACATTATTTTACAGATTGGATGGCCTCACTAGGAAGGTTCATGAACATAAAATAATCTCAAATTCTCCTATAGTAACAATCACTATGCAGTTTCCTTAGCAATATAACATCAATTATCAAATCCCATTCTATCAAGAATAATTCCTTGTTTTTACATTTCTTGTTACTATATTACTGGCTTGCCATGAAATTTCATCCCAAATGAACTGTTATAGATTTGTCAAAGCTGAAGAGAAACTTAAATATGATTGAGACAATATTAATTTTATCAGTGTGATTCTTGCTAACAACAATTTTATTAAAATTAGTTTTATATTAATAAGAGCATTCATTTATATAATATTTAGGTAAAAATTAGTTTTAAAATTTGTTTTGATATAAAGGACATGGAATAGCAACCTCAGCTTCCTCAAGGATGGCCAGGTAGTCTGGTGGAATGACTTCTCTTAGGTTCTGATGGTTCCTCTTGGCAGATGCAATCATTTCCATCACCTCCTCCATTTTGTTCAGCCTTTCCTTGGCCTTAGAGATATCTCTGAGGATAAAGAAAAAATAGAAATATTGCAAATCAGATGATTCATTATTAACCCTTTCACTATTAGTAAACAATACAAATTTCTGTGGTCAAAATACCCTCCTTATTTTCTTCAAAAATAAAGAAAACTAAAGTTATGATTCAACTGCACGACCATAAATGAGAAAAGTATCTGCAGGTTAGCATATCTTATGATACAAAAAGGCTTGTTGAATACAGCAGACATGACAACTACAGGGGGGGGGAGGGGAATTGTAATAGCTGTAAAAAATTATAATAAATACATGGAGGTACAATGATAATTTGGAATAATGAGTACATAGTATGTAATAAGAATAAGTGGTGTGTATTTACTATTTGTGTCTACAGAATCAAGCTGTTAGCTCTTGGACCCTGCCTTTCTTTCTGTGTGGAGTGGGAGTAGTGGTAGTAGTTGCAGGTATGGTGCTTACCTACTAGTGACTTTGGGGATAGGAGATCCAGCATTTTACGCCCCACCTCTTAACCATTTAAACCTGGTGTGCTAATTACATCTATCAATATTGAATTTCACATAATATTTTTTTCCTAAAGTTGTAGATGGAAACGGCTTTGACAACTCACCAACTATCCGTAAAGGATACAAGAATTTCCTTATATCTCTACAACTTAATTATATACAGTATCTAGCTTTAACAGATGTCTCCTTGTCCCCACTCCATTATTGCTGAGCCCACTCAATTTTGGTACTAATCTAGTTGCTTGCTATCAGACATCATAATGTCTGAACATTATTACATTCTTTTTTGTGCTTAATAACCACTGTGCTGCGCCAACCAAGAAATCTCATTCTGAGAGCTGTACTATTTTTTTTTTAATTAGGCTATATTTTAATGTTGTTTTTATTGTTTTCATCACTCTTTGTGTTTTGAAATGAAAATAGTTGAGTTTGGAAACATTTTGACATTAACTTTACCTGAACATTTATAAAAACAACAAAAATATGTCCTTAACAATTGCACTATGAAGTTTTTGCCAAAAAACAGGTGTGCAGTGCAGGGGTTAATGAGGTGTGGGTTCCATACCAATACTGTATATTTCACTAATGATCTACTATAGGCAGTGTATATGGACAATTTATATTACATCTGATGTCCAGGATAAAATATAATCTCAGCTTACTGGTATTTCTTCATCACTTCAGGGTTCTGTCTCTCGGCTTCACTTAGAAAGATTTTTCGGCCAGCAACTTCTATCACCTCTCCACCCACTGCTCCCTCCACAGCTGAGACCCTCTCAGTCTCAGATCTGGCTGCCGCAAGCCTGGCTTTTGCAGCCTCAGCTTCCTCTAAGCGCTTTTGGGATTCAATCATCCTTCTCTCATCCTGTAAGAATGTAATTGTGTTTAATTTGATAAGAAAATTCACAACAATGACAATGTTACTAATGATAATCACCAATAATGCTGAAGATTATAATGACAACCATATCACACAACAATTATGATAATAACAGCCATGTTACATAACACTGATGAGAAACATCGGCGACACCGAAATGTGTATACGCGTTTCAGTTTTCTCACCTTATTCTCATGCTTAGTCGTTCGTTTTGGTATCATTGTATTCGCAATAGAATTCCCTACAGGTGTACATGCATATAATATCCAAAAGCCAAGCGTGACTCCCCACAGCAAAGCCTAAATTACCCGTGAACGAGCACCAATTTGCACACCGCGGCCTAATGTGCATACTCGTTCAGTTTGAGTATCACATCAATTTTCGTCTTACGTCTTTCATTTTGATATAAAATTTTTGCAATATAAAGGCGCATGTTTTAAAACTAGTCCCATAATAAAAGAGCAATAACTGGAATTTTAACAAATATTTTAAGTTTGGATGCTCATCATCACAATATTATTTATATCTTTCTAGTGTTCTGACATAAATTTTCGTGTTACATCTTTCATTTTGGTATCAAATTGTTCGCAATCAAGGCACGCATTTTAAAATTAGTCCCATAATAATAGCACAATAAATAAAATTTTAAAAAATATTTTAAAATTTTGCTCAAAACATATTTATAATCTTTCAAGTGTTCTGACATCAGGTTTCATGTTACATCTTTCATTTTGATATCAAACTGTGCGCAATTTAAAGGCACTCATTTTGAAACTATCCCAAAGTCAATCGGATGAAAAATTAATTTTATACAAATATTTTATTGTTGGACTCATACCTGAGTTACAAGAGAGGACTCATGAGAAAAATTGATGACGCATTAAGTGTAACGAGAGTGCGACAGTGTTAATGAATAGTCGATTCAGAAATCCACATGGAATGCAGTTAGCTTAAAAGCTCTCTAGCCCCTCCACCATCCTTACTTTCTCATTATTACACTCTCCCTTCCAAGATACTGGTCATCCTTCAATACCATGCAGTAAATATACTTTTACCATTCTCGTTAAACAATGTTAAACAGCAAATTCTTGTTAAACAAAATAAGTATATGGAGCACCACCTGGCAAATGGAATTTAACATTTTAGTTCGGTAACAATGTAGCATTGCGTCGCTTTTTTAGTAGACGCAATTCCGGTAACGACACAGCATTGCATCGGCGGCTTCAGGAGGGGCGCGCTGCAGTTTTGGATATTACAGTAGAGTATATGCATATACACCTGTTGGGAATTTCTTTGTCAATAAATTGATACCAAAATGAAAGACCTAGGACCAGAATTGAGGCAACAAAGTTGAAAAGAGTATACAGTACTCATTTTATTAGCGCTCACTGGGATTACGCTGTCACTTTCTCTGTTTGCTGTGGGTGGTACGCCTGGCTTTTGGACTTTATATTTGCATATACTTCTGTAGGGAATTCTATTGCGAACACAATGTTACCAAAATGAAAGACCTAGAACAAGAATCGAGACATCCACATTGAAGACAGAGTACACATTTTATTGCTCTTGCGCGCTTCTGGATAATACGCTCTTACTTTCTCACTTTCTCGCTGGGCTTTTGGGTTTTATATGCATTTAGTCTTGTAGAGAATTCTATTGCAAACACATTGATACCAAATTGAAAAACCTAGGATGAGAAATGATATGACAAAGTGGAAAAAACTGCCACTTTTCAGTATTACCGCGCACTCTAATGTAATGAGAGGCGCCTTGGGGTGGCGCAGTGTTCTTTTTCTGGGCCACTTTCATCTTGTCGGCAGGTGGAGCACGCTTCGGTTTTTTACTTTATATGCATATACTCTTGTTGGGAATTCTATTGCGAACACAATGATACCAAAATAAAAGGCCTAGGACAGGAATTCAGGTGACAAAAGTGAAGAGTGTACACATTTTATCGCTCTTGGGCGCTCCCGGGTAACACGCACTCACTTTCTCTGTTTGTTGTGGATGGTACGCCGGGCTTTTGGACTTTACATGCCTTTAGTGCTGTAGAGAATTCTATTGCGAACACAATGATACCAAATTAAAAAACCTTAGACGAGAATTGAGGTGACAAAGTTTAAATGAGTATACACTTTTCAGAATTACTGCGCACTCCCATGAAACACTTAAGCCCAGCCCAGGTAGTGCAGGTCTCGCCCGCGCGGTGCACGAAAGTGTTAATGTGCACAAATGCTATATTATGGGATGTGGAATAGGAGATCATAGACCCCACACAACCTATAAATTGTGGAAAATCTTTAAACACTTCTTTCTGATAAAGAAAGAGCTCTAGGGGTGGTTCTAGATAGAAAACTATCTCCTGAGGACCACATAAAGAACATTGTGCGAGTAGCCTATGTTGCTTTCTAACTTCAAAATTGCTTTTAAATACATGGATGGCAAAATACTAAAGAAATTGTTCACGACTTTTGTTAGGCCAAAGCCAGAATATGCAGCGGTTGTATGGTGCCCATATCTTAAGAAACACATCAACAAACTGGAAAAGATGCAAAGAAATGCACCTAGTGGCTCCCAGAACAGAAGGACAAGAGCTACAAGGAGAGGTTAGAGGCATTAAATATGCCAAAACTAGAAGATAAAAGAAAAAGAGGCGAAATGATCACTACGTACAAAATAGCAACAGGACTCGATAAAATTGATAAGGAAGAATTTCTGAGACCTGGAACTTCAAGACCAAGAGGACACAGACTCAAGCTAAGGAAACAAAGGTGTCACAAAAACATTAGAAAATTTTCTTTTGCAAACAGATTATATCCAATTACATCACTCGACATTCAAGTTCTAGTCATATTTTTTCTGGAAGATGTTGATGGAAGTGACATCAACAACTCTTATTTCAATGTACTGTACTTCACTTTCCAATAACCCAGAGTATGAGAATTTCCTTACATCTTTATGACTCAAATGAGTATAGTTTTCACAAGCATCCCCCTGTCCTGCTAACATTCAATTTAAATAGACTGCCCTTGGCCACCCTGTTTATTCCCTTCACTAACTTATATTTAGTTTTCATTATTAAGGGACAAATTTTTCCCAGCTTTGTCTTTCACTGGAGACAGTTAAATAAACAGCACAAGTATACATTATGGGGGCAATATACATTATGTTTAGATACCATTTAAATCAGTTAACTGGTAATACCCTAATCCTACAAGTAGAGATATATTACCAGTTGAGATGCATATCCTGACACACTGGTTTATTAGATAAATTAAACAGTTTCCTTATATCTGAAAAGGCCAGGGGAGGACAACCAGAACCAATGTGGCACTGGTGGTAGGTTTAAATATCAGGGGGTCATGACCTGCATTAAAAATGGTCACAATAGGGGAAGCCCACAAGGGTGTCCTGGCAACCAGTCCTCTTCAAAAGAACATCTCATTTCAATCGTATGAGTTACATAAAATGTGTTACATTTTCGTACTAGAAAATGGAAGCAGCTCGCGAAAGTGATGTACTGTCCCATTTTCTGTTTTGGGTCCTCTGGTAAGTTAGGAGAGGAGACACTAATCTGACTGTTTTCTTGACGTTGGGAAACCTTAGGAGGACGGGCTGGTCCTGGTGCATATCTGGAGGGGGTTACGCAAGTTCTTCTACTCCCGAGCTTTAGGAGTTGAACTCCTGAAGCTTTGGAGTTTGACCTGAGCCAGGCTCGACATATCATGAAGCTCTTTCCAGTGATGCCACTACAAATTAATATCTCAGACCTACTGCCCGAGTTCTTATTGGCTGTTACATTGGGACTAAGATTTTGTGTAGGATAGCTGCAGGCCTCCTAAGCAAAAGAGCATCAATCAGATGCTAGCAGTAAAAAAGTATTCAACTAATTTAGCTTGATCCAAACAGCAAATGCGTAACTCAGCCACATCATGTCAAGTTAACTGGAGATCAGTGTTAAGTCCCAGTTGGTACAAATCAAACATACTTCCCACTGTCATTGAGACGTCTACACGTCACACGCCTACACGTCTACAACTACATAGAGAAGAGTTTGCATCATCATCTATAATTGTATCATGTCTAGAAACAAGATACAACAAGCTAGTTTTAAGCATGAAGACACTTGGAGTGTACAAAAGTAGTAGTCTTCTGCATAACTGTGTGGCACATACTACCTGTCTCAAGAAGACAACCTGCTTTTTCCATCCACCGTCAACTGCCACCCACCAGCTCACTTGTATTCACAGGGAATACATACATCAGTCATGAATGGATGAGTGTGAATATGACTGTTTCTTCTTAACACCATTTACTGGTATTCAAATTTGAGCCTAGTTGCTCCATTTGCTCCTTGTTACCCTGTTATTTTCAAACTCCTCCTCTAATGCCCTCCTGATTCTGGTGTACCATGTCCTTATACATTTCTTTTCTATACTCATTTACCAAAACACTTACAACGCTCTTCATCTTTCAATATTACTTGCCTCATTTTTATCATACAATTCAAATCATACTTTCATGCCACTCATAAAATCCAAGACATCCCATTTAACTCTCTCAAACACCCTAATCTTACTTTTCCTAAACAAACCTTTAACCTTTTTTCCAAATACACTCTCACACTTGCTCACACTCTTTTGATTTTGATTTTCATTCTCAGTAAAGATCTCCCTATCATCTACAGTAAAATAGTCTTTCATAGCTAAGCTAAATACTTGTGAATCTCCTATGTGAAGAAAATGCTCCAGCTGTAAAAATATACACACCAGAGATATTGTATTTAATCCACAAACACACACATTACAACACTCACTTCTTTTCGAGCAGCAGTTGTGACATCCAGAAGCTTCTTCATGTCACCCAACTGCTGTTGTAGAGTCTGTAGCTGCATCTGTCTTGACGAGATCTCATCTGATACCATGGCAACATTACTAGCTGCTGAGTTGAGATTAATCTGAGAAATATCTTCACCAGAATGAGTGGATGCCCTTGGGGTTGGTTCTGAAACTATTAAGTGGCCTTCTCCAGTAACAGTGCTCTGGTTGCTTTCTGGAGTCTCTACTGGCACTGTGGAGTTTCTCTGGGATCCTGGTGGACCATCTCCAGAATCTGACAACATTTTAAAGGAACTGAATGATCCATACATATTCAGAGAAAATACTGTATTAGAGAATATTTTGGCTTCATGACAGTAATTCATAAATGCATATATTATAATTATAATGTTTCACACAAAGGAAGTAGCATCAACCCAGAGACAAAAAATGTTATATTAAATAAATAATAAAAAATGACTCATCCATTCATTATATCATTCATAAAGCAACATACCTGACCTGGCCACCTGACAAATTGTTGGTACATCAGTACAAGGTGCCTGTTTCACCAAGCTATCTTTCCAGACTGGCCCAACTGGATGGCAAAATAGCCCATATTTAACATTTTTGTTTTAAGTTTTTACTATTCATCTGCCTTTAGTGGTAGTAAAAAAACAAAAATTAAGGCAATTTCAATACAATGCTTCTTTCTGGTGTGCCACTCAGTAGCTACCGAGAAATTATGCGGTGATACTGCTAAACCTACAGGTTGTACCAGGCCTCTTGAGACTTATGTGGGACTTGGATTTGCTCAATGAAGTGAGGTGAAGGGATAATAGGGTTATGAGATTGACCAAAAAATTGAGGAAACTGCAGAAAAGTCCAGATGAAATTAAACAAGCAGGCTTGAAGGAAAGAAATGAAATGAGGAAAACAACAAAAACAATATTTAGCAATGGGTAAACAACCCAAGCTACAATTTATTTGGTCATCACTAGATGGCAGTAGAGACAATCGGGCATTTCAGTTCATTTAACACTGGGTTTCCAGTTGCAACCCCCCGAGCCGGTCGGCCGAGCGGGCAGCACGCGGGACTTGTGATCCTGTGGTCCTGGGTTCGATCCCAGGTGCCGGCGAGAAACAATGGGCAGAGTTTCTTTCACCCTATGCCCCTGTTACCTAGCAGTAAATTAGGTACCTGGGTGTTAGTCAGCTGTCACGGGCTGCTTCCTGGGGGTGGAGGCCCGGTCGAGGACCGGGCCGCGGGGACACTAAAAGCCCCGAAATCATCTCAAGATAACCCCCCCCCCCCCCCCCCCCCCGACACTATTAACCACAGGGAATATAAAACAGGACTTTCCAGCAAGGAGGAGAGGCGGAAGACACTAGGACGAAGAAGAAGGCCCCAGCCAGGAGACATGGCCAAAAACAGCACTTGACCGACTGAGACCAGAAACATTAACCAAATATTGAGCCATCAGAACCTTGTTAGAATGCCAGAACCCCTGAGCCCAAATATCAGCCCAGAATACGATGGAGAATACCCTGGCCACAACTGCAAATTTATTCATGAATTCACTCGCTTGTACGACAAAATGTAAGAGTAAAATCATCTCACCTGCTTCACCTTGTCTTTGCTGCTGAATTCTACGCAACCTTGCAATTGTATCAATGAGTAATCTTCGCTTTGATGCAAGTTGACTCAGCTTATTGGCCACAGATGCCTGGGCTTCCTCATCCTCTGGGTCAACATTCTATAAGATCACCATGCATGTTTATTAATAAACTTTATATATATATACCATAAAAATTATTATTTTTTGCAACTGTAGAGGAAGACATTTTTTTAATAGAGATGAGAATCTTGATGAAGTCTGAACATGTCATACATATATTGGCAGACTAAAGGAATTCAGTAAAATAATAGAGTGAAAATTCAGACTGTTTGATTTTGTTGACTCTTGAGAACAAATTTATTGTTACCTTGGATTTGGGTCTGACAGTTGACCACACTTCTTTTTAACAAAATTGTGTTTAGTATTGCAAAGCATAGACTTTGCATAATTCATCATTGAAATACATAGGGAAAAGTTAGATGTGGAGAATGACCTGCTGGGTTTTGCAAGGCCCTTTTTCACTGCTGCAAACACTTCAGATCAAGGTTTAGCAAATTAGGATTTAGAGGAAAGTGAAAATGGAATGAAAGCTTCCATACCAGCAATGACAAACTCTATCTAGTACAGTGTACATGGATTTAAGTGCTAAAAGAAACAAAATACGAAATGAAAGTACAAGATAAATAATTTGGTCCACTCATTAGAGTGAAAGTGCCAATAATGATGGGAAAATTTATGGTGGAAGTGTCATGGAAATACTGTGCATGCACGATCAAATACAGTATAATTATGAAAGATTAGAAAGTTAATTATTAGATAATTATGAAAGATTAGAAAATTAATTATTAGATAATTATGAAAGATTAGAAAACTAAAGAATCAAGGGTTTACGTTTGTCTAGAATATAAGTATGATGATGATGAATAAGACCATTAAGGAGGGAGAAGTTAAAGGCTGCTTCTCTTTGAGGATAGTGAAAAAAGACTAAGGCTAGTCCTAACAGCAAAAATTTAAGTCTCGCAAGATGACTTCAGCATTACGAGAAGATAAAAAATTATCTGGTCAAACTTCTTATGCAATGATCCTAAGCCAGCTATTAAAGTTCAATGACCATAGATGTACATATCAATAAAATCCTAACAAAACTTGGCTCACCTGAGCCTTGATTGTGTACATCCCTTGAAGACGATCCACTTTGTCAAAGAGAGCCTGAAATTCCTCAATGCCCTGATTAATTTCATCTGTGGACCAATTTTCCACTCCTGGGATAGGGTCCTCGTATGGCTCTTCATTATCCCCTGATGGCTGAGGTGCTTGTTGCTGCTCCTGATTACGCATATTCTGTTGTTGCTTTTTGAGGTTTTCTAATCTCTCACGCGTAGCCTGAACAAGAAAGCATGTGAAGCAAAATAATATATAGTATAAAATTTGATATTAACTAATACCAAATGCTTCATTACCCATATACTGTACTATCATGGCAAACAAACTGTTTAACAAAGGGAAAACAAACATTCTATTCCAGTTACCTTGTAACGAACCATAAGATCTTCTCGACGGGCAATACTATCCCTCATACGGCCCATGATTGCAGCCGATTCCACTTGGCTGGCAGCTAAGCGTTCCTGCAGTGTTGCAACATTTCCTGGGCCAACAACTCCTACTACTCTGTTGCTACCACTGCTATGAACTTCTTCATCCTAAAAAACAAAAACAAAAAAACAGCCTTGAATGTAATGAATCGCTATTTACTGAGTGAGCCCTAGAGGCTCCCTCGAGCTATCGGAGTGGTATACGTTATACAGTACAGTATTAATTTGGGGCATCAGTCAATTGGAGTTCAGCCTACCAGAGACCACAAGCCAGAACCTGGCTCACCTCAGAGAGGTAAACGAAGCAATGGCATATGGAAACCCCATGTATTTGGGGCCATTTCATGTCTGCCATCGACCAGGGTTAGGCACTCAGAAAGGTAGGCATAATAAAATAGACCCCACATGGTAGGAAAATTGCAACTGAAGACCGAACAGAGAGGCAGAACTCCCCCAACCCAAAAGAAACAAGCAAACAGCAATCATCATACACCACTGCCATGCTGCTTGTCCATGCAGCCTAAACTCAAAGAGAGCCAAAGTTTTGGTGGGTGGACCTGGTCGGTCGGACCTGGAGAGCCCTAGACTCCCCGTGCCGGCTACTCACACCTCCTGTTCAGACTGAGCATCAAAATATAATGGAAACTGCCGACCGGAGGGAGGGAGGGTGCCAGGAAGCCTCAGGGCTCACCCAGAAATGGCATTTCATTACATTTAATGCTGGTTTTCTGTGGGGAGCCCCTCCAGCTCCATGGAGCTACTTAACCAAAGACAAGTAAAAGAGGGACCTACCCGGAAGGCGACCCCACGCGCACATCAACTCGAAGTCGAGACAACTGGATGCAACCTGCGACCCAGACACACACGAATGACCGGGACCAGGAATATTGACCAGATAACGGGCGGCCAGGACCCTGTTCGACTTCCAAAACCTTCGTGCCCAAATGTCAGCCCAAGACATGTTGCCGAACATGGCAGCCAAAATAGCAAATTTACGAACGTTGTGGGCACGAGTGTAGACCGCAGGCTGGCTAGACTTAATAACCCTGCGGACGACCTGGGAGATCCAAGCCCTGGAACAGGGAACAAGGGAAACCGGATCAACCTAAAGCGTATCCCAGCCCACAGAAGCCGAGGGGCGCAGATAACGGTGAAGAGCCATAAACAGGACAATACATTATGCACCCCTGGCCTGACCAACCATCCCAATAGTTTAGATGTTTTACCGAGTGGATTCTAGCAGTAAAGGATCTCTGCACAGTCTCCAGGTCAGCAATTTCACCAGCTTTGAAAGGGGCTGTCTTTGTGGAACAGTATTCCACTCTAAAGAGCACTAGCGTCTTGAAAAGTATCATCATTGGTATAGCATCTCTAGTGTGAAAGGTTCTTGTTATCCAACCTGTCCAAGCAAGGTACAGGCCCAGGCAAAGTACAGCAAAACCGGCTGGGTCAAAACTAACAAGGAATCTGCTAAAAACTGAACCTCCTGCGACATGTACAATCTTGGGGCCTAGAGGAGGGCCACCCAAACAACAAAAGTGGACCAATAACCAAACCAGGCAGATCCCTTCGAGGCAAGGAAAATAAAAATAAAATATAAAACCCGGAAAAGTACAACGTCGCCAGAGGAACAGAAACTGGCCGCTGCTGGTAGGTTGGTAGATGAGCTACGTTTCGCACCTCGTGCCCCTACCAGCAAACGATACCGCTCCCACCCAAGGCCAAACAAAGGCCACAAAAACCCCAGCTGGCCCCAAGGACGGAGTAAATGCCAAGTAGCTAGAACCCGTATGGAAGTGGAGTCCCAAAGGCTCTATGGAAGGTAACCCTAGAACCCAAGGGTAGTACTTACAGGGCACTTAGGGAAGACAGCCCACACAGCCCTTAGGTTAGGGCTGTGCAGACAAGCGGCACGGCAGTGGTTTGGCGTTTGCTTGTTTCTTTGGGTTGGGGGAGTCCTGCCTCTCTGTTCAGTCTTCAATTGCAATTTTCTTACCATGTAGAGTCTGTTTTGTTATGCCTACCTTTCTGGGTGCCTAACCCTGGTCAATGAGACATGGAATGCCCCCAAATACATGGGGGTTTCCATAGGCCATTGCTCTCTTTGCCTCTCTGAGGGGGCCAGGTTCTGGCTCATGGTCCCCGGTAGACAGAACTCCAATTGACTGAACCCCCAGACTAATATAGCATATATCAGTCCGATAGCTCCAGGAAGCCAGAGGGGCTCCCTACAGAAAAACATAGAATATAAAGAAATGCCTCTTTCTGATTGGGCCTCAGTGGCTCTCTGAAGCTAATTGTTCTGAAATAGCATCACACATAAAAGTCACATCAGTTGTTAATAGCCTACCAGAGACTGGAGTGAGAACCTAGCTCCCTCACACTGGCAGAGAGAGCAAGGGATTGTTACAAACTCTCTCACCAAAAAAACATCTAGAAAGTAAGTGAAGCAAACCAGACAACTGTAAAGTTCACAGAGAAAAGCTTCACAGGTGAGATAGCTTCACAGAACCATCGAGAGGCTACCCCCAGAAATTCTGTGTTGATTGTAATGAAACACCTCTTTCTGGTAGGTCATCTCAGTAGTCCCTGTTTCTGCCATTTCCTTTTTATCAGGAGCTTCGGTTCTTTCGGCAACACATAACTGATCCAGCATTGACAGTTGTAGCCCGAGCTGCTGAGGCTGCCACCTGGCAGTGGGTGTAACTAGTGGTTCTAAAAACCTAACTACTGTATTCCTAATTGTCAGTTTTGTATTCACTTACAGTTGTGTGTTCTGATGCATTCTACTCTTTTGGTGGTTTTCCTCATAGGGTGCTCTAGTATTTCCTGCTCCCTGTGCCTCTATTGAGTGAACCAAATTTGGTCTCTGGTATGGGTTAATAACTTTCAAGAGTCTGGAGTGACATATTTGAAGAGCTATTCAGATAATTAGCTCCAGAGAGTTATGGAGGGGCCCACCAGAAAGAGATTTTTTCATTAAACTCAATGTTCGATTTTTTCTTTAACTTTGATGACCATTGTTGCTGCCTCCAGCTTCTCTCCTGTTGGATAGAGAGTCATTTTCACCCTTGACTAGCATGATGTGGATGGCAATACAGTACTGTTAACACATCTTCATGGAACTCGGTTTATAAGGCCGCCACTGTATTGTAGGCTCATGCCTATCAGTGATTATGGAAGAATAAGTCTTCCTAGTCTTTTATATCTGATATTTTTATTACACCTAATAACATTCTAGTTCTGAACCATATTTGTTATTAGAAAATGAAGAATCAAAACTTATTATTACTTTTTACTACTGTAGCACATACTGTACTACAAGATGAAACAGATCATTTTCTTTCTATAAAGTAAATAATTAAAGATATTCTTTAGTAATACAGTATATTAACCTCAAGAAAAGTATTGGTCCCCAAAAGAAGTAAGATATTCAAATGGTTAAAATGTGTTATATAGTTGATCTCTTGGCCATGGTAAAATTACAAGCACTAATGTATTGAGGTTTATATCTCGGCAATCATCGCATCAACTGACTTAAGTGTAATGGAATTTTTTAGATAAACTTCCCTTCTTTTAAATCATACTCTAGACTTCTAAAAAGTTTATAAAGATATTTTTTATTTTCCCGGGAACACGAATTACTTGCTAAAGTGGCTGAAGACCAGCAACCACACCCAACACAAAGGTAATATACTGTATTCTTGGATATCAAGACAAAAGTCATCATACATAGACTTACCGTTTCCTCTCTACCATTGACTGGTGTAGTTACTGACTCATTGTTTGGGCACCCATTGGCCACTTGGGCAGCAGCCTGAGGAAAGGAGTAGAGTGTAAGTCCTACTGGTTACAATGATACAAGACAATTATAACAAACACTAGAATCACATTCCATAATATGGAAGCAGGAGCATCTCTGAATTAACTTGAACAGTCACTCCAGCAGTATTTGTACTACAGTACTTGCAAACACAATATGCTAGATCCTTATCATGAGTGAATTCCAAGTGCAAGTTTTTTGTGGCGTTACCACATCCTTTATGACAAATCTGCCCAGAGTGAGTTGACCCATACAGCACTAGTTGACATGACCTTTTCTATTGTTCAACACATTTGTATTATATTCTTGCATCATGGCTTTCCCTCCAAACATCCCTCACTCTATTTACAAATCTTGTGTGTATATAATCTTTTCAAGCATGTTATGAACAGCAGCCATTATGTTACTGATACTGTATATTATATTACTTACTGAGCAAGGCAAGAGCAAAACTTGATATACTGTACACTGAAACCTTGCATGGATACATTACAAAATGTTTTTCATATCATACTTTCTTTATGAACTGGACTGACTCAAGTTAGACATAACCACATTTCATATACTATATCTATTTTTTGTTCTGCCCTTAGATTTGCTAATAAGAATTTTGTTAATGATTATGTTACAGTATTTGAATATTTTGCAGATATTTACAAGTACAGTATGATTTTTTTTACAAGGCATTTTTTCTCTGCTGTGACCATAGACTTTTCATAATTAGTTGTCTCTCAAGCATGTGTTATTTCCTCTGTAATTGCTTTCCAAGATCTCTCATTTCTCAAGAGATTTTCATCTTTTTTTTTAATATTTCATTATTCTTTTGGTGAAAAGATGTCTAGCAGCAGCAGCAGCCAAGCCAAGCTAAGCTAAATCAGGTGCTAAATCAGGTAAGATAAAGTGAAGGTTTCTAAATACAGATGTATATGAGGGTGAGGCAGCCAGCAGAGCAATTTTGTTGGCACTAGCAATGTTTCTGGCGGATAGGGGAAAGAAAGGAGGAGGGAACATTTTTGTTTAGTTCATTATAGAGAAACAGAGTTATTAGCATGGGGTAAAAACAGACAAATTCTACAAAATTATTCATGCTGCAATGAGAGGACACAGAGCCCTGTATTTTTTTATTAAAAGTCTCAATTTTTACCATAGCTAAGTACCTGGAATTTATCTCTGTTAAACATCACATTATTTTCTGCTGCCCAATCAAATTTTTTTATTAATATCAGCATGTAGTTTTTCAATATCTTCTACAGAAGTAACTTTCATGTTGATTTTTGAGTCATCTTCAAAAGATGACATGAAGCTATGACCTGTATTTTTTGTCTGTGATAAAAAAATTAAGGTAAAGTACTGTAGTAGTGCAAGGACTACGATCTGAGGAACAGAGCTTTTTACTGTTCTTGGACTCTATTTGATTGACTGTTACTTTTTACTTTGCATTCTGTTTGACAGAAAATTTAAAACCCATCACCCTACTTTACCTATTATTCCTATTGACCTCATTTTGTGTGCTATTACTCCATTGTCACATTTATCAAAATACCTTTGCAAAGTCCATGTATACCACATGTGTATTCTGTTCTTCTTTGTAATGCATCAGTGCTTTAATTACAATGGTCAAATATCTGCAAAAGGCATGATCTTCCTGCTCTAAATCTATGTTGGCCTGGGTTGTGGAGGTCATTGAAGATGGCTGAAGATCTGACTCCTGATCACTCTCAAAAACATTTATTATGCAAGATGTTAGTGCAAGTGGTTTATAATTCTTAGCTAATGCTTTGGTCCCTTTCTTGTGTAAAGAAGCTATATCTGCTGATTTAAGCACTTCTATTATCTCCCCAGTGTCCAACCTTTTTCTCCACACTATACTGAGTGCTTGTGTTGCTGGCACTTTGCATTTTTTTATAAATATTGAATTCTGTGAGTGTGGATCCAAGTCTGAGCATGTTGTCAATTTCTCTTTCAAAATCTACAGAGTTTGTGTTGATGTCAGTTATATTTTCAGAGGATTGGATATCATGCATAAAGAAGCTGTCAAGAGCTTCCACTTTCATGCTGAGTGGTAAACATGTCCACATACTTTTTTTAGAATATCACTGATATCTTTGTCGTTCTCTGTGTATGAACCTTCACTTGTAAGAATAGGTCTATACTGATGGAGGTTTTATATTTAAATTTCACATATGTGAAGAAATATTTAGTTTTTTTTCTCGTTTTACTTTGTTCTAATTGCATTTCTTCAATCTGATATGATTCCTTTAGTCTGTTCTATTTCTTCAATCTCCCTGTTTAAACTTTTGTAGGGATAATCATGTCAGCTTAATTTTAAGCATTTCTGTTTTTCCTCCTGTAGCATCATCTGCAATCTCTTTCTATGCTGGTCCCCCTTTCTGCCTTTCCACAAAGGAATATGTTTCAGACAAACTTTATATGCTTCATTGTTCTATTCCTTGCATGAGATTTTTATTACTTAGAACAATTTCCCATTGAATGTTTTCAAGTTCCATGTACAGTGGAACCTCGGTTTTCAAATGCCAAATGCCCCTCTTTTCGAAAAATTTGACTCGGTATTCAAGGTTTGCCTTGGTGCTCGAGTTTGTTGATACACATATGGGCCAAATGAGCGCGTGGCGTGCTTCAGTTTACCAGTGTCTCCCGCCTAGTGAACACCACACTTGAATTCTTTGTGAAAAATTTCATTGTTTTTGTGCTTTTATTGAGTACTCTTGTTGGCTTATGGAAGACAGTGAGGAAGTGGGGGAGGAGGAGGAGAAGAGGTGTTTAGTGTTTGGAAGGAGAGTCCCCTTTCATTATAACAGCAGTGAAGACATTTCTGGGGTGTGTACTCTATGTTTTGAAGGCATACCACCAGGACCTCTTTGTGGCTCACTGCTTACGTGTCTTACTAAGAATCTGTCTATAGACACTTGTTTTTTGCTACGTTTTAACACTTGTCTGTAGCGAAACATCACATTGTCTCTATAAATGATCTCTTGTTTGTCCTCTATTGTCATCCTCACAACTATTTTCTTATGTTCAGAAACCAAAAAGATATACTTGTACTTACTATAGTACAAAATATAAGTACAGTAGTAGTATTATGTATAAAATGTATTTTTAAGTTAATATTTTAGGACGTGTGGAATGGATTAATTCAATTTACGGTACATTATTTCTTATGGGAAAATTTGTTTTTGTTTTTAGAACCGTCTCTGGGAACGGATTAAATTTGAAAATGAAGGTACCACTGTATATTTTACCAGTTTATCTTTTTATTATTAAAATTTAATTTATTGAATAACTGTCTCATTTGATAATTTTTTAGACCTTTCACGAGTATTGATATTAGTTTGCCCTTCAATGAGATTGTGGTATCTGAGATTGTAATGTCCCTGATTATTTTTTCTTTGTTTGTGGAGATCAGATCTAGATCTAGATGGCTCTCTTATCTGCTTGTTGAGCAAAAAAATTTGTCACTGAATCTAAGTAGTTCTCTAACCTGTGGCTGGTTATTTCCAGATAGACTTCCTGGTATAACATTATTGTTTGCTTTTCTCCACCTTAGACCAGGTAGGTTGAAGTCTCTTAGTTAGATATCTCGTATTCGGGGTTTGCCATATTATTGAGACTATTCTCTATTTTGTTTGTGTGTTGCGTGAATTCCTAAATTCCACAGATCACAATCACTTACTCAGGTCTTTCCTGGATCTAAACTTGTCTTATTTATATCCACTGTTCTCGTGTTGAAGAGAAGGAAAAAGGAAGAGGAGTAAGGTACAGAAATGTACATTGCAGAAGTCATGGAATAAAATTTTAAACCCTCTACCTGTACACAGTAGTGGAGAGTATGATAATGAGGGTTGATGAGCTTGAGGGCTTTCGTGCTGACATGCACAGACTATTTACTATAGCTGGAGAAACTTTGAGTACAGATAATATTGTAGATAGATGACAGAGGTATTGGTTGTTAATTGAGTATATAATTGTTGCTATTGTTTTAAGTGCTCATCAGGGTGCTGTTGCATTGTTTATATAATTTGTTACCTAAATGTGTGCAAAAATGTGTTCTATGCTTTGGGTAATGATTTATTTTTTACACTAACAAAATAAATGGCAATAAACATGAAAGACTGGAATTTCTGGTGAGCCAGAGGACTCCTGTCCTTTTTAGTCTGAGCAAGGTTACACTAGATTATTTTATCAAGTGACTCACTATAAATTACTGAGTGTCTAACTTTACATTTGATTTAACCCATTCTAACAAAAATAATAATACTTTTTGAATAAATTAGTAACTACTGTACATTAGTATTTATCTTATTTAAACAATAGGAGGGTAGCACACTTTGAACTATACCAAGTAAAATTATAGTCATCTCTGATGGGTAAGGTAACATATGGTTGATCTTACTGTGATAAGTGTGAGCATAAATGCAGTCATTTACCTTGTTGAGCACAAGTGACCGAGCCAAGATGTCCAGGTACTCTCCCTCCTGGTGCTGCAGAGACTTGTTCAGAGTAACAAATCTGCTGTATATGTCACTTTGGGAGCCCTTGATGAGGTATTAGGAAAAAAAGGCATCACATTCCATGACAAATAACACACCACTAAAATTGCTCACTAAACTGACTAGATGCAAGCAGCATCAACAGATGGGAGATTATTTGTTTAAATGCTGTATAGCCATAAACTTTAAATTATTTAGCACCATCATCCTCATGCAAGAATGTGCTTGCAACTTTCTGTCAGGGTAAATTATGCTTGTTATTGTAAAGAAAGAACAGTTAACAACTATTACAAATAAATTCAATTTGTTTTAAATGTTCCATGGCCAACTATATGTTAAGTTAAAAACATTAACTGCTCTCTCTTGTACCTGGCCAAAAATATTAATTACAGGCTTGTTATCCACCTATGTTAAAATAAGGTCAGATTAAGATCAGAACACAAAAATAATAAGGCACTAACCACTATTAAATTTGCCAAATCTCTTGCACAAACATGCTGAACATATGAGCATAGTTCAGAAGTGTTAAAACAGAATTATTATATTCAACTAGCTATACAAGATTAGTGAAAACGACAACCAGAAATGCATCTGTCACAAAAATAATGAAGCTAAGTTAAATAGTTTATTAAAACACGGATATATGCTTCTAGTAATGAGCAACATCCCAGTCATAATAATAATAAATATAATCCTACAGAAAACAATTATTTTTTTTCTCATTTTCAGTAAATGCCACCAAACACACAACCACTCCAAAAAGTCTCAGGCAAATATCACTTATGAATTTTGAAGTCACCAAGCTCTCAAAATTATTAGTAATTCTTAAATATATTAAAATAATTTAAACACAAATCAGTGCAAGATACAAATTCACAAATGTTCACACAGTTCCCACTAATCACCTCCTCAGATTTCTGGGCAGCTTCAAGATGAGCTTTCAGCTTCGTCTCGGAGTCCTTGAGGTCCCGCAGTACCTTGACCAGTGTGTTGTACTTGCCAATGTTGCTCTGAATGGCAGTGTTTACAAGAATTGACAATTACTATTATAACTCCATGTTCTGAGTAAATCTTCTATATCTACAGATCTGATATCTTCCTAACTCTGGAAACACCACATCAAGGGATAGCCACAGAATAATTCTTTGGGGGGGGGGTCAATCACCACAAAAACCAAATTTGAGTCTTGTCCTTATTAATACAGTGGCACCTGCAAAACTCATACTGAGCAAAATTAAAGATAATCATCATTCACACCCTTCTTTTTCCCATGCACCTTCACTGAAGTTTACTGAGCCAAACCTAGAGTTCAATCTGTCACACAATGGATATCTTCCAGATGCTAACTGTGACGAGATTTCACCATCAATATTTACTCTCAAATTCCAGCCTCTGAATCTTATTTTTCAAACATAGTGCCATGACTCACATTGAAAAGAAAAAACTAGAAACAAAAAATTACAACCAGACACAGAATTTTGCTTTAATTATGTTCAGTGGCTTCTCATAACAATTCCACTTTCTAAGGTTGTGCATATTTAGGAAAACCATTAAAGATTCGTTTAGAGCAATACTGAGTATTAAAGATGTAACTCATACTCATCATTTATACGTGCTCTACTGACAAAGTTTACCGAGCCAAATTTAAAGTTAAAGCTGTCACATGATGGATATCTACCAGCATATTCCTACTTTAATAAATTTCACTATCACCACCACTTTCTCCCAAGCCCCAGCATCCAAATATGTAATTACCTAAGTGTAGTTACAGGATGAGAGCTACGTTCATACTGATCCGTCTTCCCAGTACGTCTACTCTTTGAAACTACTGACGGTTTTGGCCTTCTCCACCTTCTCACTAAGCTTGTTCCAACCATCTACCACTCTGTTTGCAAAAGAAAACTTTCTAATATTTTTTCGGCCACCTTTGTTTCCATAGCTTGAATCCGTGTCCAAAGTAGCAGGAATTGTTTGTGAAGTTGCTGGTTTCAGGAATTCCTCTTTGTCAATTTGGTCGATTCCTGTTAGTACAGTGGTACCTCGCATAACGATTGCCCCAAAAGACGAATATTTTGGGTAACGAACGGCCCGATCGGCGTCAAATCGTCCCTTATGACGAACGCTGGTTTGAGTAACGTCAACACCACATGGTGGGGTCGCGCTGCTTCTTGCACATTCTTAGACGCCTCCGACGATGTACATAAATTATGTTGTTCTTGTTTAAAGATGCTAATGATGCTGGGATATAAAAGGGTGACTACTGAGATGTTGCAAAGCATTGACGTTTTTGTAGGAAAAAAGAAATGAAATGTCTGATATACAACAAATGTCAAAAAGGTTCGTTCGGTGTTCGGCAGGTAGGCTGCTCCATTATAACAATCTTTCTTTGTTTCAAATGTGTTCCATTTGTTTTTTATTTGTCATTTGCGTCTCAATAATGGAGAAGCCTACCTTACATACACTGAATAAACCATTATGACATTTTCCTTTCTTCAAATGTGTTCAATATTTATTTTTCATTTGCCTTATAGCAAAAGGTTCGTTCGGTGGTCGGCAGGTAGGCTGCTCCATGTTTCTTACATACAAAAAACGTAAATAATAAAAAAAATGAAGAATTTTGAAAACCAGTACAAATGTCAAAAAGGTTCGTTCGGTGGTCTACAGGTCGGCTGCTCCATGTTTCTTAAAAAAAAAAAAAAAAACGAAAAATAAAAGAACTGTTGAAACAATTTGAAAAATGGACAAATGTCATAAAGGTTCGTTCAGTGTTTGTCGGGTAGGCTGCTCCATTATTGAGACGTAAGTGACAAATACAAAACAAATGGAACACATTTGAAACAAAGAAAGATTGTCATAATGGAGCAGCCTACCCAACAAAAACTGAACGAACCTTTTGCCATAACGAATATGAAAGACAAGGGCTGCTGGCTGGGTTAGTACTGCGTGAGCAACCATTTGTGGCACACGTGCCTCTGGCTCTCAAACACCTGTCCCACACGGTGTTGAAAGACTGTGCTCAGTCGGTGCAATTCAGACCCTTTTGTTTGAAGAACATAAGGGTCATAACATTGGTGAAGCTAGGCGCAATAAGGGCTTAACACAACGGTCGGATGCCAGTGATACAGCACCTATGAGGATGATACAGCAAGCGTATCCAGGTGTAGCTCTGAGCCCCACCCTTGCCATCTCTAATGTATATAGATGATACATAGATGAATCGTTTTCTGCGTTCAGTGATGATGCATCTGATACAAGTAGCATAGATTAACAGTGTTAGCGGCTTCCATGGTGGAGGTGTTCATTGATATTTTCAAGAATACCTGAATCTTTTCCTGACTGATGGACACTCTTTGAGGCTAGCTGAATCTCTTCCTGACTGATGGACACTCTTTGAGGCTAGCTGAATCTCTTCCTGTGTGGGACCTTACAAAGCGATCTTTTCAAGACTACCTTACAAATTGAGCTTTTCCTATAATCGTTTCAATACTACTTTATGCTTTACAAGCTTGGCTACATACCACCTACAAGTACTAAAGCCAAGGGTGCACGCAAGTGCGTTATTTGCAAGCACACATAACGATGAAACAGGAAACAAAAATCTATCTGTAGCTGGTGCAAGGAGAGCAAAGTCGTGCTGTGTACCATGGACTACTTCGTTGACTATTATGCACCTCCAAAGTACTGAGTGTGTAATACAGTGTGTTACTGTGTAAATAGTATGTGAAACTGTACATATTGTAATATTAGTGAATTTCTACCACGTAATATTGTGACAATAAACATTTATTGTGGACACATTACTGACACATGTATCACAGTTTCATGGAAAATTATGAACATTCTACTGTATACATATTGTAAAGGTCACAAATATGCATCATATACGATAAATGAAACAAATAAAACCGCATTGGAAATGCATAGAAAAAATATTTGAAAATATATTTGTGGCAACACGCGGTGCTTGAATGGCCTGCGCGACCGTGTCTGGGAGCTTCACACACGGGCGACCAGGCCCTGATGACGTCACAGCGCACCTTGTCCACGCCCTCACAGCCAAAGTAAGTGGAATTTGGTAATTATTTTTACATAGACATGTTCAGGGACGGTAATTTATCATTTTACAAAGAAAAATTTAATTTGGGGAACATTTGATGTCATGCACTCTGGGGAAATTTCACAATAAACACAGTGCATCACACTGGTTACATGGGGGGACACTCGTTTTGTATGACGTCCGTTTCACATGACGAACATGGAACGGATTAAATTCGTTATGCGAGGTACCACTGTATTTTGTAAGTGGTGTTCATACCACCTGTTTTACTGAATATTCCAATTTTGGTCTCACATAAGTCATTAACAGTTTCTTTAGTTACCTGCTTGACACCTGCTTGATGGGATTCTGGAAGTTCTACTTCCCAAGCCCGGCCCAAGGCCAGGCTTGACTTGTGAGAGTTTGGTCCACCAGGCTGTTGCTTGGAGCGGCCCGCAAGCCCACATACCCACCACAGCCTGGTTGGTCCGGAACTTCTTTTAGAAAATACTGTAGTCTAGTTTTCTCTTGAATATGTCCACGGTTGTTCCGGCAATATTTCTTATAGTTACTGGGAGGACGTTGAACAGCCGTGGACCTCTGATGTTTATACAGTGTTCTCTGATTGTGCCTATGGCACCTCTGCTCTTCACTGGTTCTATTCTGCATTTTCTTCCATATCGTTCACTCCAGTACATTGTTATTTTACTGTGTAGATTAGGGACCTGGCCTAGTATTTCACCATCCATAAAATTAAAAGCAAGTCTGAAGTTGGCAAGCAACTAATATGCTCCTCTCACAATGTTCTTTGTGTGTTCCTCTGGTGACAGCTTACTATCCAAAATTATCCCTAAGTCTCGTTTTTTATTAGAGTTCAGTAATTCCTTTCCACATAGTTTGTAAGTTGTGTGTGGTCTATTTTATCAGATTCCTTATTCCATAACATAGCATTTTTCACATTGAATTCCATCTGCCAATTGCCGCTCCAAGCACTTATTTTATCTAGATC